TCGGAAGTCTGTGATTGACGAATATGGCATGGGTTTGATAGACCCACACAACCTGCATCATCTGATGCATGGGACCCAGCACCTCAAGAGGGCTCAGCGGCTGCAAGCCCCCAAATGAACCAGGAATATGTTCATGTTAACAGCTGATAGTGAGCCATAGGGTGCTCACTCCAAAAGGATATGCCACCCTGGCTACAAGCCACACGCTGTGAGCCACCAGCAGGAAGGGCCACAGAGCCCCATGAACCCAGGCTTACTGAACAAAACACAAGTGAGGCAGCCACTATATACAATTAGAGCAGGCTCCCACCTGGCAAGAGGAAAAAGCCACGCAAAGAGCAACACCTAGGTGGGCACAATGTGGCTGCCACACTGGGACCTTCACGGAACTGCACTGCTGCCCTCCAACCTTGGCAGACAGCCCACGGCGAAATTGACATAGGTGCCTTTTACACAAATGATGTCCCAGCTCATCAGTCTGCTAAGATTTACATTAGATTTAAGAGTTGGAGAATCCTAGCAGCCAACATCCTGCACTGGGAGATAACAAAAAATTCCTGCATCTTAAAGCGCCAGATACTCTATGGGAACCTCTCCTGGCTCTCTCCTCTGGCTCCACAGCGCCACTTTCTCCTTCTCCCCAGCCTCACTTGGCCTCCCTGGACACTGTCCCCACCCTCATCTGCCACTGTGACCCTCAAACCTGCCATCCCAGTGCCCAGCTGGCCCCACCTCTCCTCCCCTCCTGGGCTCATCCTGCTGACCCCACCTAGACCACAGGACTTTCTTCTTGAGTAGCCCCTCCTGCCTGTACTCTGCACCTCCACCTCATACCCTAGCCCATCCCTTTCCTGCCTGATCCCCAGATCTCAGACCCCTCCCTTAGATAGCCGTGGGCCAGGGTGGGACCAGCCCACAGTTGCCCCCTTTAACTTCCCTTTTGGTACAATTTACATAATAAGTTGTCACACTTCTGTTTTCTTGTTTTAAAGAACACTCCAAGAGCACTAGTTAAAAAAGAAAAGTAGTAGTTATCGCTAACAGGAAGCAGTCAGTATATGCAGTGGAACCATAGTAAGGTCACCGGTTTACTTTAAATTACTTTTAAACTGTTCTTTGTTACTGCTGCCCTGGATGAGTAAATAACAGATAAGCTGCTTAAAAAAAAACAAAAACAAAAACCCCTGGCACACAGACCTGAGAGTAGCAAGCAGAGATAAAAGGAGCTAATTAGGGAGCTGGTTGGGGAAATGCATCAAAAAGAAGGATTAACAACTCTTGACAGGGTCCACCTAGGCCAGGGCCAAGCCAGGAGTCATGGCCACAGATGCCTCCACAGTCTTGGAAGGGAGGCAGGTTTCATTAGTAACATGCACTAAGGTAAATTCTGACTAGCCTGGCCCAAAAACCAACGGAGGATGATTTGTAGATAAAATGCCCTGAACAGGACTGCCACCATGGCAGTTCTGAAGAGGACCAATTAGGGTCAAAACCTGGGTCCTGGACATGAAGGAGGACTGTCCTGGCTCTCAGCAGTGCTCTCTGCCTGGGCCTCACTCTGCTTTTACTTACTTTCACCTCACACTTATACTAAAGTGCTCTAGTCTGACTTTTGGTGTCCGACTTTAAATTGTCTTTTGTGGGAACACAAGCAAAATATAAAACATTAACAGTTTTTGTCTTGTTTTAATAAAAAAAGAGAGCTATAGGGCAGATGAGATGGTATATGCCTGCAATTCCAAGTACTTGTGAGGCCAAGACAGGAGGACTGCAATCGCAAGGGCAGCCTGGGCAAATGAGTAAGGTCCTGTCTCAATTTGCTGGGGATGTAGCTTAGCGGAAGTACGTTCTTGGCTTCAATCCCAAGAACCATACAAGAATTTAATTGTTTTCAAAGTTACACAAAAAGACATGTTAAAAAATGTACAAATTGGATAACATTAAAATAAAATTTCCATCATCAAATGATAATTAAATTGTACAATAAATGATACCATTAAATGGTACAAAGGAAATGACAGCAGGAGAAATTAATTACTTCACATATAACTAAACTTTTAATAAGAAAGGAAAAGATAAAGACCCCAAACCAAGGCAGGCAAGAGACTGCATAGCCACTTTATATGAAATATCTGTGTTCAATAATCATAAAAAGCTCAACATCTTTAGACATTAAAGATATAAAAATAAAATTAGATAAAATTAATCACTGTTGATGAAGATTTGGAACAAATAAATTCTCATGAACTACAGCAGAGTGGAATGAAGATACATGAAGCTCCCCCCAGTAGCTGACTTGCAGGAATGACTGCAAAGTGAACCATGATGATGTGTATGGATACAGCATTATAGATCCCAACACCTGAAATCCAGGGTGGGGAAAGAGGACGCACACATAAGAAGAGGTAAATAATACAGTGTGGGGAAAATGGTCCAGTTCAACAAATATACAAAATACCACTAAGTATTATATAGATGCCACGTTCATGTGAGACCTCACATACATACATCTTTTAAAAGGAAATATGTAGAATACTCATCAGAAAATAAAAATTTCTGGGAGTACTTGAAAGACTAAATTATATACACCATGTGTAGATAAAACTCATCACTAAAAAAATAGTAATTATCCCCAAATTAATCTATAGTATAAAAAATTTTAATATGCTGGGCTGGGGTTGTAGCTCAGTGGTACAGCATTTGCTTAGCACGCGTGAGGCACTGGGTTTGATGCTCAGCACCCATAAAAATATACAGATAAAGGCATTGTGTCCATCTACAACTAAAAAAAATTTTAAAAAATAAATTTCAACATGCTTATCTTTTAATGAAAAAGGGTTTAAAGCAGGGTTTTTCTAAAATTCTCCTGGTGGTAAAGCATACTGATTTATAACAGCAAATGAAGTAGTTTTCAGTACCTAAATTATATACACTATATACGTTAATTATATAAATAATGTGTAAATTATAGGCACTAATGTATAATATAAAACCATAATATTGCAATAATAAAGACCAAGGAACCATAATACAAATAAAATCCACAATTAAATCCACATATACACAAACATTTTTGTATTGTTAGGTCCAACTATATGAAGAACGACATTAGATGTAAATGGATGAAATTACCAAATGTACAAGTAGGTTGAGCCAGGCAAACAGTTCACCGTGTATGTGCAGAATTGAAAGGTCCTAGGCTTTTTTTTTTGGTAGCAAGGATTGAACTCAGGAGCACTTGGCCACTGAACCACATCCCCAGCCCTATTTTGTATTTTATTTAGAGACAGGGTCTCATTGAGTTGCTTAGCACCTCACTTTTGCTGAGGCTGACTTTGAACTCTCATCCTCCAGAGCCCACAATCGGCATAAAAGGCTTTTTTCTAATGGGGATTATTTTGGAAACAGAATATGAGACACCTGATTTTCCCTCCATCTATGGCTACACTGAATAGATGCTCATGTTTTAGGTCCCTTTGAGACAGTCACAAATGAGTTTAAAGACTTAGATCCATTGAACAACTGAGAAAATATATACTTTCAAATGAGTAGGAAAATCTGGGGTACACTGGCCATGGTCCTACACTGCAAAAGTCCCATATCATTGGTACAGAATGGGAGCCTAGGACCATACATACCCTAACTCAAGTTTCCTATGGTTTGCATTTTATTTATTTTTTATTTATTTATTTATTTTTTAATATTTATTTTTCAGTTTTCGGCGGACACAACATCTTTCTTTGTATGTGGTGCTGAGGATCGAACCCGGGCCGCACGCATGCCAGGCGAGCGCGCTACCACTTGAGCCACATCCCCAGCCCTGCATTTTAATTTATAGGGCTGGGAGAACAAGTATCTGCTTAAGTATCAAAAAGTGGTGATTTTCTATGGTCATGCAAGCACTTCCAGGGGTTCATCACCTGGGTTCAGGGCAGAAGCCTTCAAACCCAACCGCATAAGCTTAACCTTGGAAGATACCTATCAGCAAGTTCTGCCAAATGCTGTGGCGACAGTTGAATTTCTATCTTGCTTCAGAGATTTAATAGGAAAAAACAGCGTAAACCACTGACAGCATGAGAGTTCAGCATTTACCTCCCAAACCTCCAACCTCCAACCAAAGCAGCTGAGAGCACGTCCAAATCTCTAGATTGGAAACATGGATTTATTGTTTTGCAAGAGCTTCCATGAGCTACCATCCCCAGCAGTGACGCAGAAAAGGTGTTTAGAAATCATAGATCCCTCTAAATTGCTCTTTCAGTGGCTTCCTGACAGCTCTCATTTTAACAAACTTGTTTCAGGAACTCAATGCACAAGTCAGATAGCAGACCTCCCGCAGCCTGAGTACAGATGCTAGAATGGCTAGTAAAAAAAAAAAAAAAAAAAAAAAAAAAAAAAAAAAATTTTTTTTTGAAAGATAACAAGCACACCAGCGTATACAAACATAGATAAAAGGAAACCCTTATACAACCGCTAGTGAGAACATAAAGTTAGTACAGCTGTTTTTGGAAACCGTATGAACGTACTTCAAAAAATTAAAAATAGGCCACGCGCTGTGGTGCACGCCCATAAACCCGGAGGCTCGGGAGGCTGGGGCAGGAGGACCGCGAGTTGAAGGCCATCTCAGCAACTGAGCGAGGCCCCCTAAGAAATTTAGCAAGACCCAGTCTCTGAATAAAACGTAAAAAGGACGTGGCTCGGTGGCACCGCGCCCTTGGTTCAATCTCGCACGGAAACACCGCGGCCAGCGGCCCTCGCGGGGAGGCCGCGGTCCCACCCGCAGCCGCCTCGCGGTGTGAGCGGAGGCTGAGCCTCCGCACAGGGTTTCGGCTGTGGGTTCCGGGGACGCCGCGGCCGACCCTCCCTAGCGGGCCGGCCCAAGGGCCCAGCCGCGCGCGGGCGGAGGCCGGAGAGACAGCGGGGTCCGCTCGGCCATTTCCAGCGCCCACTGCCGCCCGCCCAGGCGAACCGCCGCGCTGTCCACGGACGCCCCTCGTACACACCATTTCCCGGCCGTAGGGTGCCCGGCCTTCCCCCGCGGAGCTCCGGCGCCTGGCAGCAGAGGAACTCGGGCCTCCCGAGGACTGATGGCAGCCCGGCCTCGCATCCGAGGAATGGCGGGGTCCCGAGACAAAGGCGCCCCAGAGACGAGGCCCGCCCTCTCCGCACGGGGCGGGCTCTGGATTGGGCAGGTCTCGCCCGCTCGTCTCTGATTGGACAGCGCATCCGACCCCCGCCCCCGACCCGGAGCCTAGGGAGCCTGCGGGCTGAGTGACAGCGCTGGCGTCCAACCCCGGAAAGACCGGGCGGAAGGCGGCCTGGCTTTCCGGCTCCGCGCGCCCGCGCTGTCAGGGCAGAGCTGGGGTCCGACGCCAGTGCGCCTAACCGTGGGCCGCCGCCCACGCCTTTCCTTTCCTCACTCCGAGACGAGCGCTCACTAATGGCGCGGCTGCTGGACTCACAGGCCCGCCGCGCACGGCGCTGTTCTGAGTTGCTGGGAATGGAACAAAGGCTCGGCGACAGCCTTTCCAAGGCAGGGCCTCCCTGCAGCAGGGGGCTCTCTGCAGCAGGGGGCTCCAAGCCGGGAAGACTCGTATTTTATGACGTATATAGTCGCATAATTCATGGAATAAGTGCATGTATATTATCCAGGGATGGAAATCATATAACGACAATCACTTTGCATTTTTATGTGACTTTTCTGCTCTCTGGTCTTGGGAGGAGGCAGCGTGAACCTTGAACTGGGAAGCAAACCCCTAAAGCAGCGATTACCCGCACAAATAAAATGTGGGCACACGCGTGATTCTAGGTTTTCCGTTACATGAAAAAAATTAAAAATAACAGGCCAAGGCCACTTTAACAGGACGTCCTCTTCAGGGCGTCGTCGTTATGTGGACAGCATGAAATTCCCGATGAGGTTGGCGGGTGTGGAAGAGCATCCTCGATGGCAGCCACCGCCTCGGCTGGGGGCAGCGCCTCCCGCGACCCCGGGGAGGTGAAGTTCCCAGACGCCTCCTTTGTGTACCAGAGGTGACGAAATACACTCCCTTGCCAATATTTTTTCCTCGGTGCCAAGGAATGGCAGAGACACTGCCCTGGGAGCCAGCCGGGACCTCCCAACGGGAAGTGTCCCAGAGCAGACCTCTGTTTCCCACCTGGCGCTGGGCACCGTCCTCTCCCATTTCAGATGTCATACAGTAAAGAAAGGAAGATGGGTGTCCCAGGAGATGGGGGCCCATGTCTTCAGATCTTTCAGCAGTTTAGACTCTAGCGTTTAAACAGATTAAAGGAAATTTTATTTTGCAATTTTCTTTGATCTTAATGGCAGGACTGGGATGTCTGTTTATATGCATATGTGTCTACACATATTGCCTTATAATTCAATACCCTATCAAAAGACCTAACTTTAAATTAGGAGAAAAGAAGAATCAATGCCTATAACACCTGTGCTATTTTCCAGATAACTTCTGCACCACATGTGACTCAATTTTGTTTATAAAGGGTGTCTTAGTTATCTATCACTGGATTATAAGCCTTTCTAAAACATTAACTCATGCTTGCACTGATCAATTTAGGCTGGGCTCAGCTGGGGGTCTTTCAGCTGCATGTGGTTAGCTGATAGTTGATAAGATTCCTAAACTTCAGAGGGTAAGCTGACTGTGAACTGGAGCACCTTGATCCTCCTCCCAGTGAGAGCTCCTTCTTCAGCAGGCTGAGATGGACTTGTTCTCTTGGAAATGGCAGGGTTCTGAAAGCAAAAACACAAGTATCTTTTGAGGCTAAGTACCCCACTAAGACTTTCACAGTCACAGCTTTATATGAACCATAGCAGAACAGTTGTAGAAACTTCATCTATAAGAAAAGAAAAAATGACAATGAGTGACAAAGCATCTGCAGTTCTTTCGTTTTATCTGTATCCATAACCCTGACAATGTGATTTTACTCCCTTTCCTGTCAAAATACAGAAAGTTTCCCAAGACTTGTGGTTCTGCATAATTGAAGGGGCCTTGATCTTTTTACTGCCAAAAGCAGCTGACTTTTTCTGTACCTAAAGGAGAAATGCTATTTTTATGTCAATCAATCTGGAATAGTAAAGGACAAGATAAAACAACTCCGACAGGACCTTGAACATCAGAAACAACCGCTCTCCTCTACTGAAGGATGGCAGCCAAGTAACCCCCTTCTGGAGTGGGCACTTCCTTCCCTGACCCCTCTCCTTGTCACAGGCCTTCTGTTAATGCTTGCCCCCTGCTTCATTACATTGGTTCAAGACTAGATCCAAAAAGTCTCTAATCAAACTATAAACCAGCTTTTGTTACAGGAATACCAATCCCTCACCAAAATTGGGGCACTGGGGACAGCATTTCACCACCACTCTGTGGAGAATCAGATGTGACTGCTTTACTATTACTGTCCTTGATGGAGTCTGCCTGCAAACGGGATATTCTGTCAAGGTATAGATAGGTAACAGCGGACATGCTTGAAAAGGAGGTGTCTGCTGTCCTTGGGAGGACTTGCCTGCCAATGGGATATTCTGCCAAGTGGGCTAGGAGGGCGCTAAGAAAAATTTTATTATCTGTTCTTAACAAGAACAGAGCTCAGCATGCTCCAGGCCGAGAGTAGATTAGCCATGAGAAGCGGGTCACTTCTGATTAGAAAGTAAAACTTCTGTGTGCTATGTTTAATTAGCTGAAAGACCTGATGCATTGATGTTGGAAGGCTGCCTTCTTTGTTCACAAGACTATAAAAAGATTGCTGTGCACAGTAAAGGACTTCTATTCTGCTGCTGCTTTGCTTGCTCTGCTTCTTCTTTCTTTTCCCATGCTGACCTGCACGTGAATTACTGCAACATTTGGCGTAGTCGGCAGGATCCAGCACCAAAAGGGTAAGCACCCCGGGTTAAGAAAACGAAAGGGGGACTTTCGGAATTAACAAAATATCGAAAGGTATCACCCCGGGTTGAAAGAAACTTTAGGGGGACTTTCAGAACTAACAAATATCAAAAGGTATTGCCCTGATATACCTAGCCTAGTTATCTCATTAGATCAGAAGCCAGCTTGTCACAAGTTATGAAGGATTCATTTCTGTTTTCTGTAAAAATATCAGGATGTCTGTATGGCCTGGCCATTAGTTGATGTTGTAAAGCTGATTGGAATGCCTGCCCGTGCCCTGAACTCACCCATGTCAGGTTTTCCCTGACCATATAACAACCCTTTCCTAAACCTTAGTGACGCCTCATAAATTCTGGCCTTCCCTGGCCGGATAACGACCCTCTCTGAGTCTCTAAGATCTCCATAAATTCTGATGCCGGGGCCAGCAAAAATGTAAACTTGTGTTATGCTCCTCAGAGTGTTGTTATCTGTAACCCCCCTTTGTGTAACTTTTTGGGCTATAAAACTGGGCCACAAAGAAGCCTCGCCGCTGTCCTTGGCTCCCACGATTTTGATGGGCAAGGCAGCCCGGCCGGTCGAAATAATAAGCTTGCTTTAATTTGATTTTAATTGGAGTCTGTGGTCTTTTCTTGCATCGTGGTCTAACACCCCAGGTTGAAAGAAACTTTAGGGGGACTTTCAGAACTAACAAAATATCAAAAGGTATTGTTATGCTCGAATTCGGGACCCCCAAAGATCACCAGAGACCCAAGATGGATGCAAGCAGCAAAGAGGAGTTTATTGTGAGCTAGCTCGGTCCTCCGCGCGCACACACACAGCAACTGGTGACACTGAGAGGCCCCGAACCCAGGGTTTGCAGCATTTTTATACATTCTTTGGAGAGGGCAGGGACTTCACATACATCATAGCCTCTTTTAGCAAATCATCACACACCGCCGGAAAATCAAATAACAACTCTAAAACATGATTAGCACATTCACTGGCGGGAACAAGTTGGGTAGGGGTAATTGGTCAGTACAAAAGGGGTATTCATTTGAACTGATTGGTTTAAGCCAAGAGGGGTGTACGTGCTGAACTACATGGTTTCCCAACTTGTTATCAACCACCATAAACTACTGGGAGGGTCATCTGGCATCCCAGGTATTTCCCTGTCTCATGCTAATTGGTGGCTGCTAGGGGGCTGCTATGGATCCCCACCTAGCCTGACTGAGTCAAGGACACCTGGCGCAGCAGATCTCTCCTGTTATTTGTAGATAAACAACTTAGCAGGGTGGGAATGTGCCTAGGAGTGCTCTGTGGGTTTTTCCAAGGACAAAGGCCATGTCCCTTCCTTGGACAGGCTTTGCTCTGAGATAGAGGCGGTTTTTTCAGTATCGCCCCTGGTTGAAAGAGACTTTAGGGGGACTTCCAGAACTAACAAAATATGGAAAGGTATCGCCCCAGGTTGAAAGAGACTTTAGGGGGACTTTCAGAACTAACATGGAAAACTCCCAGTCCTTAAAGGAACAATATATGGAGTTACTACAAGGATTATTATATTCCATAGGTGTGAAAACATCTCATAAGAGACTCAAGGAGTTATTTAAAATTATAGAATGTCATTGTCACTGGTTCCAGTATCAAACTAAGGTCCAGTTAAATTTAGGGAAATGGAAATTGGTTCAGAAAGAGCTCCATAAGCAGCATCAGGCTGAAAATGTTATTTATTTGAAAATTTGGACATTGTGTAACACTATTACTCAGGCATTACAATTATTAGAAAGCAATAATGAAAAGGGCTCTCTTTGTGAAAGACAAGTTTATACATCAAAATCTGATAATAAGGTTAACAAAACGGAGCCCCAGGAAGATATTTGTGATACTATAGATGACTCTCCTAAATCAGATCTGGGTGATAAGGAAGATTCAAAAAGTTCAGATAGTGACTCCAATATGAAAGAAATTATGGAGGCCTTTGTGGATTAAAATGAAATTAAAAAAGCAAAGGTCCTCTCTTAAACCTACTACTCCTTCTAATGCTTCTCTCTTTCCAATGACAGAGTATAGAGTTGATGTGGGTAGAGAACAACAACGTTTTTCATTTCCTCTTACTATGATACATGATAATGATGATCTTGCAGCTCCTCTTGGTTGTTTTGTTGATCCACCACATTTGTTTCCTATAACTAGACCACAAAACCTTCAAAATCCCCCAGGACCTATGGAGGATAAATTAATGGAGGAGGGTAATTACCGCGCCTTTAGAGAGCAGGCTCAATATACAGATCCAGATCT